GCTTTTGACACTTTGTACATGAAATATGAGATCTATGAATGAATTCTGTCGATAAAAACAACTTGTATGTGCTGCGAAATACCCTAAATATCGGGTATAAAACGGGCTGTGAAGCAGACGACAAACGTCCGCCTTTCCTGGCGTCATTTCGCCTCTAGAGGGCCAGTCAAATGACGTCATCAGTGAACACTGATAATTGAACCCATTCATGCTAGTATGTCCATCCCATAGAAATGCTACTATGAAAGACCTTGTTAACTGACTACTTAAAAGTTGAAACATGGCGAAATGTTGTGCGTATGAATGCCATAACGATTCATGTTAAGTTTCTCGAAATCCCAAATAAAAATTCACGTTGTTGGTTGCGAGAAATCGGCAGAAGAACTAACCTGAAAATGAAGACACGTACAGCGCTCTAGCAATAGTAAACAGTGAGTAAATAGATATTGTTTGAGTTAAAAACTAAATGAGAAATACGCTAATATCACTTGAACTACAGTAATCATTTCGCCCAACTTCCCACTTTTAATCGACCGCTTATCGCTTAATTTCCGACCGCACTGTATTTTCCGACCGGAAAACGACCGCATTTTTATCGTAATTTTTCTCTCGCTGGCTCATTGAAACACCGACCGGTCGCCCAAACACTGGTCACTGGCACAGGAGTGATCGAAATAGTGGTTTTGAGTGATATAGTTTGGGGATACAACGGGTACTAACAATTATTAAATTCCAAACTACTCTTCAAATCTATACCACATTGTATCGTTCATGAGGCGAAACTTCACCTGTGTCCAATATTAAATAACTGACTTTGCGTAATTATTAGGAAAGCGATATATTACAATGTTGAAATTTTTAGAGCCGGTACAACATTGTAAACAAATTTGCATAATTAGAAAAGCAGCGCACTGAGAAAATGACCTCAAAATATACAAGTTTGCGTACAGCACCGTCAGAACTAATAACAATTTTACAAGATCGACGCGCGGAGCATGAAAGAAAAAGATTGCTAAGGTAACGCGCCTGTTCAGTGCGTGACTTGGGGGTCAAACTTCGGTCAACACACACTTGATGTCAGCATCGCCGCGCAGTAAGTTACGCAATGAAGTACTTAAAGTTCAATTGCATCCCAAAATGATGTTGTTGATCACTCAGTCTTTTGCAAAATATTGTAACTAGTTTCCAAGCTTTTGATGCAGCCAGATTTATTTAAGTTTGTGGAAATATAATCTTTTTAATTTCCCAGTCCTTTCTGTTCATTCATTGTCTTGACAATAAGTGTGAATTGCTGTGCGAGCTTTTCGTACCCGACCGCTGTCAGACGGTGTCATGAAATCTATGCATAAAAGGCGGGCGACCTGCGGCTGTTTGATTTCCTACTCTCTCCTAAGCTAGCGATTGGTGAGAATGGTTATTAATATATTACCCGATGCACTTGTAAATCGGACAGTCATACCGCAATTGTGTTGAAACATTTTTGGGGCAGTAAGTAACGTCAGAATATTGTTTAAAATAAAATATTCCATCCCAATCAAATCTAGGTCAAAGGGTCAAATTGCGTGCATATAATTATAGATAGCTAAAAACTAAATATATTTGAATGTTTGACGGCTATTCAACATTTGTGCAAACCAGAATAAAAAAAGGTAGTGTATACAATAGCGATATGACTGAGATATCATGGCATTTGTTTACAATATTGTACCGGCTCTAGTATTTGACACAGATAAAGTTGTTCGCGAACGATACAGAGTGGTGTAGATTTGAAGAGCCGTTCAGAATATTCTTTGTATATCCCCAAACATTTTGTCTACTCCTGTGCCGGTGACCAGTGTTTGGACGAGCGGTCGGTGTTTTCAATAAGCGAACGAGAGAAAAAAAAACGGTAAAAATGTGGTCGTTTTCCGGTCGGAAAATACAGTGCGGTCGGAAATTAAGTGATCGTTTAAAAAGGGAGAAGTTGGGCAAAATGAGTACTGTGGTTCAAGTGATATCAGCATATTTCTCATTTAGTTTTAACTCGTACTAATATTTATTCACTCAATGTTTACTATAGCCAAAACGCTGTACTGTCTTAACTTTCAGATTAGTTCTTCCGCAACCAACAACGTGATTTTTTATTTGGGATTTCGAGAAA